ACAACTGGGGCCATTTTCATGTCTGAGCTGGGTCCTGAGGTCTGAACAATGAACATATCTTTTCCATAAAATCAGAGCCTGTGATACCGAAGTGGTATTAACTATTATGGGGTTTTTTTTTAGCTCGTTCCTAGTTTCGTGTTGCCTTTCAAAAAAAGTAAAACCCAGCGGCCACACGAGAGGCTGTGAATAATGGCAAAACGGAAGCGGCCACAGGCAACCGCTGACAGCACCGGTCCAGGGGGAGGCGATCGCTGGCTTGGTGCACAGTTTAGACCCACGAATGCCAGTCAGTGAAAGCCATGCACACGGTGTCTGTACTAAGATAAGAGTCGAAAACACATGTTTCTCTGAGAACCACATAGACTCCATCTCGCCAGTGCCCAGAGGCGCACATGGCACAGACACACAACAGACTGAGGAGATGACAAGCATTTTGACAAACACTCTATACATTTTTCTCTCTGATAATTAAAACAAACACAAAAGGCAGTGTTATCATCTGCCCTCTAGAGATAAGGAAACAAATAACCTGCCCCGTTCAATAGCCTACCGGGCAAAGCCATGGCTTGAACCCCAGCTTCCGGCTCTGAACCCCCATTCCCCACCGCCCAGTGCAGCAGGCTGGGCTGGGACTCATCAGAGGGGCCGTGCTGAGCCGCGGGCAGGTTGAGGTCAGAGAGCCAGGGCACCTGCGGGACCCCATCAGTTCCCAAAGAAGCAGGAGCACCAGACACCCCACCTGGGCTGGGGAGGAGCCAGGTGTGCTGGTTGCTGCAGGGGGAGCCCCGCCCAGGCCAGTGAGGGCCGGACCAGCCAGGTCGGCCTCCTTAGCCTCCACCGGGTTCTTCCTTTATTGATGCACAGCTTCTTCAGTCGCCTGGTTAAAGGAGCAATAGACTGTCATGTAAAATTTCAGGCAATTCACAACGATATTTTTAATGCATAAAAATGCCCTCTAATCCCACCCCATGGCATAGCATTCTGTGTGGGAGTGTTTATACCTTTTGATGCACTGAGCGGGACCCCTTCGAGACCCAGGGCTGCACCCACTGACCTGCCTCTGCCTCTGACACTCGCCGCTCCAGTGTTCCTTTGTAAAATGGCAATGGGGTTAAGCATTTTTATTTAACATAAAATTACTATGTCCTTTTGGCTGTAGGGGATGGTTTCTATTTCAAAATTATGTTCTTACTACAGTACTTCTGCTGATGTCAACATAGAGGTTATAAAGAGTGCAGCCAAACAATGAATATTGATACTTATTTTAGAACTAGAGGCCCACTGCATGAAAATTCATGCACTGGCGGGGGGAGAGGGAAGGTGTCCCTCAGCCCAGCCTGCCCCCTCTCACAGTCCGGAGCCCTCAGGGGATGTCCTACTGACGGCTTAGGCCTGCTCCCCCCAGGGAGTGGGTCCAAGGCGCAGTCTGTCCTCTCTGCGGGAGGCAACTGGGCTGATCAGGGGAAGGCGCCGCCCCCATCACCCCCCTACTGCTGTCACTGGCAGCAGCAGCAGCTGCAAGGCCTGAGCTCCAGGCCTTACAGCTGCCTGAGCCCATGGCTGCTGTGAGCCCAGGGCCTCGCAGTCGCTGTGGCTTTGTCTGGATGGACGTCCGGATGGAAGTCTGGAAGATGTCCTCCCTAATTAGCATATTACCCTTTTATTAGTATAGATGCTGATTAAACACTCGCCTGAAAGTGTGCGAACCCTCAAACTGGTAAAGGCCAGGGCGAGATGTGGGCTGTCAGGCGCCTCTGGGCCTTGTCACTCGATGTAGGGCTGCGTGGACTATTCTGCAGGCTGCGTGGACTATTCTGCAGAATCCACGTGGCTCTTGGATACAGGAAGTGAACTGTGACTTATTTTCTTCATGGATGTAAACCTGCTTGCTGCTTTCTTCCCCTCTTTATCTCGGTCTTTCTGTGGACCCTCAGCAGGTGGCACGTACAGTGCGATGCCATGTAACATCCGTGGAGGAAGGCAAGGCCTGGAGGAGGCCGACCAGCTGAGCGGGGGTGCCTCTAGGTGTAGCATGTCGGCCAAGGTGAAGGAGAGGCAGGCCCCTGGCTGCACAGCACTGGCTCCCAGAGAGCGGAATCCTTCCTGTGTCCAGACGGCCTGGGTTCAAGCCCGGCCCACACAGAGCTGACCTGAACTCTGAGTCGGTGGAAAATGGGGAGCGTCCTAGCACAGGGTGGGGTGCGCAGTGAATGAGCCAGTGAGGAGGAACTTGCCCTGGAAGCTGGATGGGGAACGCGTTCAGCAGATGCTGGGGACGACGACGAACTCATCTTTCTCGCCTTGTTTCCATCGAGCGTCGCCTGTACCCAGGACCACAGGGACCACAGAGAGACAGCTCCTGCCATGTATTGAGTGTCGTCAAATATTGGGTTGAGTTCTTTATTTACATTGTATTACTTAATCATGGCAACTCTATAAACATTCTTAAGCTGGTCTTTTTTATTTAATTTAATTTTTCCCATCACCACCTATCCCCCCGTACCCTCTTCCACCTCCACACACACCCTTGCTGGCCACAATCACCACACTGCTGTCAGTGTCCCTGAATTCTTTCTCTTTTTTTCTTTTTTGCTCAATCCCTCCACTGACCCCCAGCTCCCTCTCCCCACCAGCTGGCAGCCTGCTCTCTATCTATGAGTCTGTCTCTATCTTGCTTGTTAGTCCAGTTTGTTCATTGGATTTCATGAGTGAGATCAGGTGGTATTGTCTTTCTCTGACTGGCTTGTTTCACTTAGCACAGTGCTCTCCACGAAAGCTAGTCTTCTGTCCACTTTTCATGGGAGACAGCGCAGAGATGAAACTGGTTCAGCTCGCAATGGCTAGCAAGTCCTTCCTCCAGAAAAAGCAAAGGGTGCCTCACTAGCCATGCAATTCCCAAACATAAGAGATGTGAACCAAATCAATTCTGTCTAAATATTTGTGACATTCAGTGTTGGAAAGGGTGTGAAAGACGGTCACTCTTACACAATCACCAATAGCTGTCAAAAGCGTGATGTCCGTGCCCTTTAACCCAATAGCTTTGGAGAGGATTTACCTGACATTTCTATTGGAACCAAGACGCCCCAATGAAAGTACCATGGTGACCATGACAACACTGGTTGTGATACACAACAAATACCTGAGTAAAAGAATTTCAACATGGAACAGAACGAAGCACACCATCCAAATAACGAGTTACCACATCGCCCTGAGAAGGACGGGGTCGGGGGATGGTACAGGTGCCCAAGGTCTCATCTCGAGTGGAATCATAATCACCTGTCAGCAATGGGCTAAAGGACAGAAATCTGTATGAACCGAGGCAACTGTGGGCCATTCCAGAGAGAAACAGGAGATTGATTTGGGGCTCAGATAAAAAGGGGATGGTTTTGGCTGGGAAAGAGCAGGGCCCAGGGAACGATGTGTAGGAAAAAGAGCCCTGGTTTTAGGGTTCGAAGCCTGGCTTTAGGGTGACCAGGGAGTTTGTATGGAAGCACCCAGGTTAGCCGAGAAAAAGGGTGCATTTCCCGTGAGGCTACGAGGCGGCCTGCTGGGAGGAGAGAGCTCTCTGAGTCTCAGCCTCCCACCTCTGACGTTGGCTGATGGACAGGTGTCATGTCATTGACCAATTCGGGGTGTCGGCCGTACGTATCGGGGTCCGGGTACAGACAGTCTGTCTCTTTCTTAGAGACCCGGCTTTTCAATGGCCAGGCTCTGTAACTATCTGAGCATAAATAGCAGGAAGTAAAACTTAGAATAAAGAGCTCCTTTGCAGGCAGTTGAACTTATTTGCCGAAAGCAATAATTTTTATCTCTTTTGATTCGTTTCTGCATGTGCTTTCTGAGGGCTCCTGTTTCCCGTGCACCGAGGGGCCCTGTGCGGCCTCAGGAGGGCCCAGCTCTGAGTTATCTGAGATATTTGGATTCTGTGTGGACGTCATTTGAAAATAAAGTTGCGGCTCATTGCTGTCAGAGGTGGGATGCTGTGGAGAGAAGTGCAGGGCTGTGCGGACAGGGCCGGACTGCGGAGAGAGGGCCGGATTAACAATGCTCATCCAGATGGGCCTCGGAGAAGGGCACCTTAGCACAGGCGTGTGGGAGGCGAGTGCCCGTGAGAGTGCACTCAGAGGGAGGACGGCTGAGCAAAGGCCCTGTGGTGAGGGTGCCCAGAGTGGAGGGTGTGCCCAAGTGGAGGGTGTGCCCAGGTGGAGGGTGTGCTCAGAGTGGTGGGGGTGCCCAGGGTGGTGAGTGTGCCGGGGTGGTGAGGGTGCCCGGGGTAGAGGGTGTGCCCAGGGTGGAGGGGGTGCCCAGAGAGGTGGGGGTGCCCGGGGTGCTGAGTGTGCCCCAGGTGGGGGTGTCCAGGGTGGTGAGGGTGCCGGGGTGGAGGGTGTGCCTGGGGTGGTGAGTGTGCCTGGGGTGGTGAGGGTGCCTGGGGTGGTGAGGGTGCCTGGGGTGGAGGGTGTGCCCAGGGTGGTGAGTGTGTCTGGGGTGGTGAGGGTGCCTGGGGTGGTGAGGGTGCCTAGGGTGGAGGGTGTGCCTGGGGTGGTGAGGGTGCCTGGGGTGGTGAGGGTGCCTGGGGTGGTGAGGGTGCCTGGGGTGGAGGGTGTGCCTGGGGTGGTGAGTGTGTCTGGGGTGGAGGGTGTGCCTGGGCAGTGGGGGTGCCTGGGGTGGCGGGGGACCAGCCCTGGGTCAGAGGCACTGGAGCAGTGTGAGTGAACGGAACAGAAACGGTGAAACCTCAGAGAGGAAGTGGGTCAGAGTGGGGGGCCCTTGGTCTGTAAGGCTGCGGCCTTTGCCCTCGGGGAGAACTGCCGGGTGTGAGCAGAGGCAGGAGCGATGGGCTCTGCCTCCTTGGAGGGCCCTGGGGGAGACGGAGACGAGGGCTTGCGAGCGCGAGAAAGAGAGAACCGTGCGTCACAGTGAGAACGTCGCTGTCGAGGCATCACTGCAACAGCCGAGTGGACCTGCCCAGCCCTCCCCGCCCAGCGGTGCTGCACAGAGCGACCGTCCGTCCGTCCGCATGAGTCACGGTCGGTTAAACGCCTCGTGCTTCCTATTAGCCCACAGGTACGTCCACATCCCTTTCATCAGAACAGAATCGCTCACGCCTGGCAATGGTGAACACCGCTGTGGGCTCCGCTCCATCTTTGCTGGTCCCTCTCCCTCCCTCCCCTCCAGGGCACCCTGCTCCCTCTGCTGCAACACCCTCTCTACCTACCGAACTCCTCTCCATCCTTCAGAACCCAGACCTAGTAACTTCTGTCCGACGGCCGCACCCTCCCTGGTCTCTTCTGAGGGGAACTCAGCTCATCCTCCCCGCAGCCTCGAAGCCCTCTGCATAGTCTGGGACCTGCACACGGAAATGCAACGGACCCGCACGTCTGAGAGGCAGGGGCTGGTGCCAAACCACCGCGCTTCAGACCTAGACTGACCTGCGCTAACACCCGGGCACTGGCTGGTCGCATCCTCTTTCCTGTCTCTGAGCTCAGTCTCCTCTCCAGGGAACAGTGCCTGTGTTATAGGCCTGCTGGCAAGATTAACAGGTGAGTCACTCCCTGTGGGACCAGCACACAGTGGGTCTCGCAGGCATCACTTCCCTGCAGGCCTCCGGCTCCCCGGGGCAGACAGTTTCACTTCCATCCTGTGCCCCACCCTCCCCGGGTGCCCGGCCTGATCGGCGCTGGATGGAGGTGCCCCCGAATGAACACCTGCCTGGGGACACGGGCGTGCAGGCTCGCTAGGGAGGTGCAGCGAGTGGCGCAGAGGCTGCGTGGGGCCCTGTGGGCTGAGCACCCCCGGGGCGCTCCCCATGGCAGCACAGGGGCCCTTCTGCTTGCCTCGGGGACACTCATCGTCCTCCGGGCACATGTTCTCATTGCTCTTTGGGGCTTCTGCCACCGGCACCTCCTCAGCGGTCCTCCCGCCCTCAGCCCTGCTGTTCTGTCTTCCCCACCTGGTGCTCCGCACACCATGTGGCTCCTCCCCGACCACGGTTCCCAGCCTCCGCCCCCGCCAGCCTGGCCTCCCCGAGCCCCCGCTCCGTCCGGAGCTGTCACGCAAGGAGCCGTGCGGCAGAGCCTCTGGGAGCCGAGCAGGTGGCGATCTTCCGAGCGCAGGGCGAGCGTGCGCAGTGAGAAGCCTGCGGGGCAGTCACAGCCAGGAGCCCTGGCACCACCTGCCTCCACCTGCTGCAGGATCCACGAGGCTGCCCCGCGCAGGGCCTCGAGCGACTCTGAGGTCACACGGACACCGTCTGTGTCCCTGCGTCTTCCTCTGGCATCTTGCACGTGCCCCTCGAATTCTCTAAAGCTTAGTGTCTTCATTTGTGAAACTGAGAGAATACCGTGACGCAGCTCCCAGTGGGTGGCGTGCTCTTGTGACCGATGAATACTTGACCAATCTGCCCAAAACGTGGTGGCTTCAAAGAGCAAGAGCTGCCTCGTGGGCCAGGAATTGAGAGCAGCTGAGCCTGGCTGCTCACCGGGGTCTCTGAGGGATCGTGGTCAGCTGGTGGCTCGAGTGGGGTCACTTCGGAGCCTTCTCTCCCGTTCCCGGGTCCGAGGCCTGGGCTGGAGCAGCGGGCTCCCTGGCCGCACCCTGCACCTGGGGTGCCTTGCCACTCAGCCTTCCTCCTCGGCCCCTGCTGGATCACTGGATTCCTTCCATGGAGGGCAGGGCCCCCCCAGACACCCAGCCTGGCCCCCAAGTCTCCAGGCGCCACCGCACGGCTTCCTGCTGGTTAGAAGCTGGCCCCTCCTCCGCCCACAGCCAAGGAGATGAGATTAGGCTCTCCTTGGAGGAGTCCACTTTGCAAGAAGGCCCAAGCACCGCAGCACGAGGGCCTGCTCTTCAGCAAGCAACAAGCGTTTTGAAAATGTCTGGTGATTTAAAAATAAAACAGAAGCCTCTGCCCCCTCCATTGTCATCGTCACTCCCCACAAACTCCCATCCTGTAAGGGGGCGAAGTTCTGATCAATTTAGGTGAGAGACACAAAGACGATGGAAAGGAGACGCCAAATGTAAATGGTTGGCATTCATTGGTCGCTTGCTATGTGCCAGCCCCTGGTAACGCCTACGTGCGTTCTCTGTTTTAACCCTCAGCACAGCCCCGTGAGGTTCCCACGGCCACCTCCCCGGGGGGCTCTGCCGTCTGCAGGCGTGGGGAGAGCCGGCTGGGCAAGCGCTGGGGAGGGCAGAGCCGCTGCCTCCACCATCTCAGCCGGGTCCTCAGCGGAGAACCTCTGTCGAATCCTTCCCTCCTTGGCGATGCCGCTGAGAGCAGAGTCCCTGGTGAAGCAGGTGCAACAGAACCAGGAAGATGAGGGGTTCTTGAGTCAGAAGAGAAGGGCCAGGAGGTTGATGGAGAGACTGCCGAGGAAGACGAGGCCCCTCGCAGACACGGGCAGCAGGGCCGGCAGAGGGCCCGGGAACGGCGTCCAACGAGAGCCTCCCTCCAGCTCGGCTCCGGGAATAATTCGAGGGCTCCCCCACAGCCTTCCCTCCGGGCTCTGGAAACCCCCTGGAAATGTGCTGAGTGATGGAACAGGGACCAAGGACAGTCTTGTCAGCAGACGGAGTCCAGGCCGGGCTAAGGGGTGGGGCCCAGTTCTGTCCTGGGCCCACAGAGCTTTGCCTGGCCCGGACCTGGACCAGGGCCAGCAGAAGTTCCCACGCACATACAGGTGAGCTGTGTTCTCCCATGTGGCTCATGAGAACTCAGGGGGGGCCACCCTGCCTTCTCCCGAGGCTCCTCCCTGCCCCCCTAGGCTCCGTCTTCATTCTGTCTCTACTCCTGCACTGGGCACTCTCCTGTCTCCCCCTGTGCTGTGGGCTCAGAGCGCCCCATCCAAGCTCATCAAAGTCAGTCATTCAAAAATACTCACGAAACACACAGGAGATGCCAGACAGCTCCGGGCGCCGGGAGCCTGCAGGGACCAGACCTGCAAAGGCCTGGCCCCCGAGGTGACATCGAGCGGCCTTCACGGAGGGAGGGTCTTGGTGTCACCACAAAGGCCAGTCTGGGTGGGAGACAGGAAGAAACCCATGACGAGATCAGTCATTGGTCCTTTTGCCTGGAACCCAGCCAGCCAGGGTTCCAGAGCCCAGGGGGAGGGCCGCGCCTGCTGTTGAACAACGGCCCGGGGCAGGTTTGGGCTCTCAGCTGTGATGACTGGGCCCTTCACGCAACCTGGGAATTCACCTCCCAGACCTCACCTGAGGCAGGAATGCGGTCGGAGCTGGGCTCTGTCACCACCACCTGCCCTGGCTTTCCAGGCGAGGACTCCAGGGAAGAGAAAGTTGCTACATCCACCCCGAGCTTCCTCCTGCTCTGCCCTTCTCGTGTCCACAACCATCGCCGCCTGGGCCTCGGCAGGTGCTGCCACGCCCTCTGGGATCGCCTGTGGGTGCGGCCCAGGCCGGGCACAGCTGCTTCATGTGGAGAACATGCTGAGCAGAGCGGGGGTTAAGTCATTTAACTGGAAAGTGGGGAAAGATCAGCTGTAGATGAAGTGTTAGGAACTAGAATGAAGAGTTCCCATGAATTCCAAAGCTGAAGAAGGAAGTCGAGTGGATTTTCATTCTCTGCACCCCAATCCTCCCCCTCCATCCCCGTCACCACCACCACCACCCCCCCCTCGTGCCCTAGTTTTAAAGGCTCTGGTGGCAGCCCTGCCCTGAGGCCTTGCCTGGTGGTGCCTCCTCCCCTCGCTCTCCCGCAGGGGGTGGGGGGGGGGGCACTGATGAGGAGCCAGGTGGCCTGGGCAGCAGGACGGACCATTCCTGCTCACAGTGGGAGCGTCCAAGGTAGAGAGGATCCACGTTACTTACGCGAGCAGCTGAGACGTCATGGGGACCCAGGCTCTCCCCGTGTCCTCCCTCTGCCACCCCCCTTTGCTCATGGTGTCCTGTCCCGTGTCCCTCATCAGACGACCCCAGGTCTCTGGCCAGAATCAGCACAACCCACCCCGCTTGGCACTGTCCAGGCAAGACGAGGCCCCGGCAGCAGCCTGAGCCAGCGAGGAGTCACCTTGGAGCTGGCTGGAGCCCACAGGCCTAAAGAGGATATAACCCTAAGATGAGGGCAACCCCCAGGACCCTGCCCGCCAGGCAGCGAGGACTCGGCTCCCTGGTGGGCATCCCACAGTGTCTGCAATGGAGGAAGTGGCCCATCGCCCTCCTAAGGGAGGATTGGAAGAAAAAACGATCCCAATGTCATACTCCTGGAGTCCACACTGTTCTAAGACAGAATCTTGCTTACTCAGCGCTGCGTCTCCTTGAGGAGATAAAGCCCCAGCCTCCCCCAACCCCCACATTGATGACTCCGCGGGCTCCACACCGTCCCTGTGGGCGGGCAACACCGTGGCGAGGCCCCTGCAGCCTCTGGCAGGCTCAGGCGCACTGGACAGTCTCCTGGTGGCACTGCGTCAGGCACATGCTCCATGGTGCGCACATCCTAATTCTGTTAGGGGCAAAAATAGAACCTTGGGGATGTTAACGTAAAAACATGCAAACCTGTGAAGGATTTTTGTGAGTTTATTTGAGCCAAACTGTCGACAATTGCCGGGAAGCGGAACCTCAATGGATTGGGATACTGCTCTGGAGAATAGTGGTTTTTCATCTATTTTTATACTTTGCAATCAAAGGAGGAGACATAGGTGGGTTAAATGAAATTCCTTGGTGATAGATTAGGGAGGCGGGAGAAAGCAAAATGGGGAAACCCCTGGGATTGGATAAAAGGTAAAATGATGGACACATACTTAGGTGGGTGCAGGAACAATTAACATGATAATGAAGGAATTGGTGGTATCTGCCCTGGTGCCCAGGCACATTAGGTTGTGCCTCAAGGGGTCCAGAAAAAGGGAAGTTACAAGTTACCCAGACATTTCAAGGGGTATGTTATCATAGATGCAAAAAGACAGATAGGCTCAGTTAAGATAAAGGTTGCCCTTGTCAGGGAAGATACCAGCCTAGGAGGTGACTACCTACCATAACTGCTTTTAGTTGAAGTTTAATTTCAGACCATCCTTTGTGGTGACTTTAGGTCTCTGAGTTTGCAAGACCGCCATGCAGGCCTCCCCTGAGCTGGTCAGGTTAGCATGTGGCCCCTTTCATCCATGGGGACTAGTTATGGTTATGGGCAATATTAATCGTGCTCTGTAACCAGGATGCCTTGTGCTGGTTAAGGAAAGGACATTCTGACCTGGCTGGGAGTTGTACGCCCCCAGGACCTGGGAGTCAACCTTGGAATGTGGTCCATTCTCATCCAAGAACTGCCTGTTGTGATGGAAAGATTGACAACCTTGTTGCCCAAACAATGGAGTCCCACCCCCGCCAGCATAGCCTGCTTCCCCTGTCTGTAACCCCACTTCCCCATGTCATCCTTGTCCTTGTCTTACCCCATATAGGCAGCTGGTTTATGGGAGCAGAGAGAGGTTTGTGGTTGACCTGCTGCTCTCCCCGCTGCTGGCGGTATTGGAATAAACACTCATACATGATTCAAGCCTGTCCCTGCTGATCTGGCTCAAGTAGTGACAGGCAGCCCGGACCCCCTGGCTGTCCGGCTATAATTCCAGATCGATGTCAGGATGGAAACGGAGAGGCTTGGTCTCAGCTTCTGCCTGTGGATGAGACCGGCCAGGGTCCTTGGTCTGGCAAATGCTACACTGGAGATTCCTCGAGAGCTTGTGAAGTTTACCTTCAAAACACTGAGAACCTTGGGGAAAAAACCTAGCGCTTCTCCAAAGAGACAGAGGCCAGGAGCCTGTGTGTCCCAGAGACCGGACTGTCCTCCTGCGATCCTGGGGAGCCGCCCTGCTGCTGGGGCCTCCCCCATGCACCATCTCTCGCCTGACTCGGGTGGGCTGTCTCTCTGATGCCTACTCTCAGGCCGGCAGGGCTGTGGTGCCAAAAGCACAGGCCTCCATCCTGGCTTTCTCAGGGGCCCAGGGACCAGAGGGTGCCTGGGAGCCTCCCCCGGTCCTCCTCCCTCTCCAGGAAGTCCTCCGGGGAGCGCACCCTCCTCCCACAGTGGCCTCCTTCCACCCCACACTTGCAAAGCAGGGCTCCGGTTCCTCAGCCATGAACCCATGGTCCACGTGATGAAACTTCTTCCTTCTCCCACTGCTCTCTCCAGAGAGGGCGGGTGTGTTCTGGCTCCGGCCACGGAAGCAGGTTTCTTCTGGAACAGTCTGGAGAAGAACTGGGTCACAGAACCACCCCAAGAAAGCAGCCGGGTGTTGCCAAACGGCCTGCCAGTTCCCGGTCTCCGCTGCTGTGCTTGTCTGAGACCCAGGCTCCCACCTGCCAGGCAGCTGGCAGCATGAGCCCCGGTCCCTGCAGACAGAAGGGTCTGCAGGCTGGTGTCCTCCTGCCCCTGGACTGTTAGGGGCAGAAGTAGAATAATGGGGACCAGCTATAGTTATAAGAAATAGGAATCGTAAGAAACATTAATCTGCTCACGTAAGGAAACATTCAAACCTGTAAAGAATTGTTTAATTTATTTGAGCCGAACTGTCAACAATTGGCCAGGAAGCAGAATCTAACAGATTGGGATAATGCTCCCGGAAATGGTGATTTTTTTTAACCTATTTTTATAAATTAATATCAAAGGAGGAGATGTAGGGGGGTTACATGAAATCCGTTGGTGATAGATTAGGGATGTGGGAGAAAGCAAAGCTGGGGAACCTCTGGGATTGGAGAAAAAGAAACAGGAGAGACACACGCTTCCTTCACACAGGTGGGCATAAGATAGTTAACAGTCAACAACTAACATGATAACAATAATAATGAGGAAATTCGTAGTTTGTGCTCTGGTGCCCTTTGTGAGCCCTGAAGGGTCCGGAAAGAGGGAAGTTACAAGTTACCCTGACATTCCAGGGGTATATTGTCTTAGATACAAAAAGACAAGAAAGTAAAGTTGATCTTTGTTAGGGAAGATACTGGTCTAAGACTACCCACTATAAACTGCTTTTTAATTAAAAAGTTTTAATTTCAGCCCCAGCCAATTTGGCTCACTGGATAGAGTGTTGGCCTACAGACTGAAGGGTCCTGGGTTCGATTCTGGTCAAGGACACATGCCTGGGTTTTGGGCTCGATCCCCAGTAGGGTGCGTGCAGGAGGCAGCCAATCAATGATTCTCTCTCATCATTAATGTTTCTATCTCTTCCTCTCCCTTCCTCTCTAAAATCAATATATATAGATAGATATATAGATATAGATATATACAGATATATAGATATATAGATATATAATTTTTTTTAAGTCTTAATTTCAGACCATCCTTTGTGGTTACTTTAGGCCTAAGAGTTTGCAAGGCCACCACTCAGGCCTTCCGCTAGTTAGTCAGGTGAGCATGTGGCCCCTTTCGTCCACAAACCATGCTCTGTAACTGTAATTACCTTGTTCTGATGAAAGAAAGCTCATTCGAACCTGGCTGGGAGTTGAATGGCCCAAGGACCTGGGAGTCAACCTTGGAATTCAGTTCATCATCATGGACAGATTACATCCTTGTTGTCCAAACCATGGAGTCCCACCACATTGCCTATAACCTGTAACCATTATACCCATTCTTATTCCTTCCGCCACTTCCCCCTGTAATCTTTGTCCTTCTACCCAATATAAGCTGCTGGCTCATGGGGCGTGCACAGCAGATGTTTGTGGACGACCTGCTGCTCTCCACGCCGCCGGCAGGATTGGAATAAACGCTCATATATGAGTCTACCCTGTCCCTGCTGAATTGACTCAAGTAGCGACAGGCAGCTCGGACCCTTGGTTGTCCGGTGTCAGGTTTCAGTATCAGTTGTGCGTGGCCCTTTTTCAGGGAAGAGAAGGGGAAGTCCCGACCCACATTCAGAACCTGGAGATGAAGATGAGAAAAGAGAGGAGTTTAAAAATTAAGGGTTGAGAATTCAGCAGCGGCCAGGGTTAGCATTGCTGCCGCACCACGTCCTCACTGCACAGCCTCCATCGCTCCCGCTGACCCGGGAGTGACAGCGCCCTCTCCCGGCTGCTGGTGGATGTCCACCCGGCGGACAGTAGAGCCAGACTGTGGGCGGTGGGAGGAGGTGGGCAGCAGCAGCACCCAGCAGCCCTGGGCATGGTTATTAGTAAAATGCGGGCCCAACCCGCAGAACCCACTGATGTGAGGGCCTGACCCGGGCGCACTGCCCGTCCCTGTGGGGTCGAGAGGAGGGGGAGGCAGAGGGCCAGCGAGGAGTCGCCCTTGGAGCTGGGAGGGGCCCACGGTCCTAAAGAGGACCTAACCCGTGGGATGGAGGCTGCCGGGTGGACCAGCCCCAGATGGAGGGAGGTGGTGAGGAAACAGCCCTGGCCCAGAGGTTCCCTCCCGCTTGGGCTGAACTAAGTACGTTGATCAAAGTGAGTCATGCTTCTCCCCTGGACCCAGTTACTCCATCTCAGACGTTACTTCAAGTTACTCCACCTCGGAAGCGATCTTCCCCAGGCACCCTCACACGGGGAGTCACCACTAAACCACCTGGGACACACCCAGGGCCGCAGCCCCAGGCGCACAGCTCTGGCCGCAGGGTCAGCCAGCGACTGTGA